CACAACTTGCTATAAATTGAGTATAATTTTAAGATGACAGACTTCTTTAAAAAGCAAACTAAATGTTCACATTTCACAAAAACATACAGCTCTCGAGTACAATGAGTATAGCAATGTATTTTAACAGCTTCTCTGATACTAGGAGAATTTAAACAATAGAACATTCGTGCACTTCCTATTAAATCCAAAAAGTGCTAGTTAGTGATTTTTACTACAACAGTAGTTTTCAACAATTTTAAAGTAAGTACAAAATGTCAAAACACAAAACAACTGTTTCTGAAATTATTAATATATTTACCATATTTGAGTACATCTATTTCTGGTAAATGTGTTTTATTGTAATTATTTAGCTACAGCATTAAAAAGAGGAACATTATTTATACATGCATTTCATGTCTCCATGCCAGTGTCTGACGTTCACTTCGAATGATCTCACCCAGCAACAACTGTCTTAAAAATATTTTGTTCAGACACCAAAAAACAGGTCTGAAAAAGCTACAAGAACATCAGCAGGATTATTTTTCTGCCTGCTGCAGGTAATTTCTCAGCTTACCTATATTTATATATTACATTTATTTAGGCCTCTTAAATGAGGCTTCTGCCTGCACGTTCATCGTGGTGATTTTGCATCTTGTTTAGCATTCATCCACTCACGAAAAAAAGTTTAAAGAAATTCATCACAAAGGATTTGACTAGGGTCTGTCAACACAGAATTTACAGTTTATCTCAGCCCAGGCAGTTGTGTGCACAAATAGTTCCTCCTCCTGCCTGGAGGGCTATTGGATACATTGCTTTCCATATTCCACCTTAGCCAGTGAGTCTGTGGGGAACAGAGAACAAATATATTACCTAGCACAGGTGACAGGGAGGCTGAGCAGGCAGCCCCTGCTTAAGTTATTGGCTAAAAGAACAGAATAAAAAGCAGAGGCAGCTATGCAGAGGCAGCCAGTATTTAAAAACCCATCTTCTCTGCATTGTTTGCACAGATTTTATGTTTTACCAAGAATTCTAGTGCCTAGTACTTGCTTTACATAGTATTCTCAACTGGAATTTCCAGCAGTTACAAAATAAGATCACCAATCTGTGAGGGGACTGAGGGTTCTGCATATTTAACTTCTCCACCCTTTAGCAGCCACAGCTTGTGTACACTGGATATTTTTGCAATCCTGCACGCAGGAATCACAAAAAGGCTTCAAAATCCATATCAAGAGTAAAATAGACAAATGTAAAGTCCTTGTTTTTTATGGAGCAATCCAGTTTGTTAAAAATGTTTGGTTTTTTTTTTTTTTTCTGTGTCACTGATTAAACCAAAAAGTGTAGAGCACATTATTGTGACAAGAACTCAAGCCCATTAAGTTTTTCATAAATTAGTTTGTCTGCTCCAGGATCAGAACACAAACTTGCTTTTAAATATTCCCCTTTCTGAAGAAGGCTTTCCCTCATTTCTGTAAAACAATAAAACTACAAGTTGCAAAAATGAAAAATAGTAGAAATGTTCATTTCTAAATGAGAACAAATTGGTAAGTATAATTAGAAAAGAAATTAATGTGGCAATGCCTTGTAATAATTTAGCATAGAGCTTCTCAAACCTGAAGTTAAAAAAATCTTTCCAATTTCAAGCAGTCTCTATAAATTATTGTAGCAGAATAAAGAACAAGTCTTCAGACAGAAAAGTCCATTTAGTCTTGTATTAGAAGTTCAGTTTGTCAAATTGTCTTTATATGACCATGTAATACACTGGAAATGTATTCATTAACAGTCTCCTAACTGGCACTAAACCTACCAATTTCCAATTTAAAATGCAGATCATGGAAAAAAGTAACCATTATATTTCCCAGAACAGTATCTGCCTAGAATTAATTTAATACTGCAATTTTACAAGAACAAATGGATGTCAGAAACCTGTGACACAGATTAACTCACAATTTCTAACATTCCAAGTTAACTACTCCCCTGCCCAACTCAAAAAAAAATTTAATCAAATATACAGAATTTTTGACAAGTTCCATTTATTTTTTTATTCCATTTCCAAAGATTCTACAGAAGTTCGTGATCACAAAACAATATAACTGAACGTAACTTATATTTTTTACGATGAGAAAACAGATCTTAATACGTAAAGAGTTAGCTATTTCCATAAAGAATGTTAAAAAATAAAACAAAGGCGTTTTCAAGTACCCTCCAAAATCCAACTATGAAAGTAATATGTAATCAATTTTGGAAGCAGACATGAGCACTACGGCATCAGGCTCCTCTCAGATAATTTTTTGTCACATGGTTTCCCCATTAAACACCACAATTTCTTTGAAAAAACAATTCATCCAAATATCATTTACTATTAAACATGCATTATCCTAAGCAATAAAAAAACAGAGAACTGCAGCAATAGTAGTTTAGGAAAGCACAGTTGGGAGCTCACTGAATTTTGTATTTTATGCACTGCAAAACATTTCTGCCTTCTGAAAGGGTGGTGGGGTTGAGTTTTTGGTGTGAGTTTGGGGGGTTTTTGAGACCCTTGGAAAAAATATCTATTCCTTAAAATTCACAGTACTAATAACAACAACACACTGCACCAGTAGCCCTTGAGAGATAGTTGCACCCAACTGTGGCAAGAAGTAGAACATTTCTAGAATCTTAAATATTTCTTTTAATAATTGATGTAGTCATTTTGAATCTTTCTGCATAGGATATGGCGTGTGAGTAGATTGCATTAACACTGCTTAAACATTTCAACTTGTCAGTATGGCCAAGTCGATTTCTGAAATATTTGCTGTATTTTCCCATCGAAACAGTAATAAAGGTAGAATAAATATATGCCACTGCTTTATAATCACTGAACATTAATGAATATTTTATGTCTTTTTAAATCTCCCTGTTTAATTTAAAAGGGTGAAATTAAGTCTCCTCCCTGCAATATGCCAATTATCTGTAAATCAAACAATAACTTGGCCATTATAGTCCTTTTTGTTAATATACCAGAAGCTAATTTGAAAACACTGAGCGGCATTTTTAGGTAATAATTGAATAGTCCTTCCTGCCCTCTTGTGGTTGGCAACTGCATCACTGAGCTTCTCCACCGTTACAAACATACACCAGGAGGAAAGTAAACTATTAATTTGTTAAAGTGTGAACAAGAGAATGAAGAGGAAAAAAAAATCTCACAGTCCCTGGAGAGGACAGAGACAAAGGAGACAAAGAATGATACCACTGATTCCTCCAAACCACAATGACTGCCTAGATTTGTTACAATGATTACTCTAAAAGAAAAAAAAATTAAATTAAGAAGCCATTAGGGAGTTAACATTCAAAACAGTGCTTGTTTTCTATAATTAGACAAATGTTCAGCAACCCCTTTTACCTCAGCAAAATCCCCAGGGATTTCAGGAGCCTTTGCACAGACAGACACGTTCACCTGTTCAGGATCAGCTGCACAACAAGGGCCAGAGAGCTCCTTTCATTTTAGCCCCTTCACAATTTTATACACTCTATTGGGTGTAACACTCAGATACAAAAAAAGGCAAAGAAAGGTTTTCTGCTCATGCTGGTTACGTGGTGATAGGGGTTTTATTTTGGTTATTTAAAGGGAATATCATAATGAACTTTTAAATTATGTTGATTTCATAATGATGACTGTAACCACAACTTGCCATTGACAACAAACAAGAAAACTTCAGTGCATGGAAAGGCAGCCTAGATCCCCCTGGCACAACTTTCTGGCTCCTTTAAGCCAGGTAAGACCCACCAGCAAAGAAGTAAATGACACAGCATTGATAAAAACCAAACAGACAATATATACATATGTGTTTTCTTTTAGAATCTCACCATTTTAAAATTAAAACCACATACTTGGATGATTTATTTCCATAAATGTTCAAATTCATTATAAGTCTAGAAAGTCAAAGCTCAGCCCCTCAAAAGTCAAACTGATTCAAGTATGTTTATTTGTATTACCACAAAAAAGCAAAACAGAACTTACGATAGTAGATCTGAACATAAGAAATAGAAAACAGGCTTTCACATGAGGGAAAGATCAGAATTTAGATCTTAAGAATAACAGGATTCAAAATGAAAACAGTTAGTGATCATTTTTCATTGTTGTATGAGATACTACTCCCATATCTAATATTACAGAACTTAAATTAATTCTGTCTACCATGTCAGCATGCGACATGAAAAACTTCAATAAAATCTGTTCAACCCTAAAAGACTGAGAGAAGTGTCAAACCAATAATAGCAAACATACATTTAATTTGAAAAGCAAACATTTAATCTTAATATTTTGTAATGTGAATTCTGAAGATTCACATTTCTAGGTTGTTTGTCAAGTTTCCAGAAGGCAGTGGGTTATATGGAAAATAACATCCACAACATCTGGCATTAGATATACCATGGAGCACTAGACAACAACCTTAGGGCTTGGAAAGGAGTTTTTAAAATATGCAAGGGACTGCTTATTCTGAATTCAGACAGTTCAGAGTCACATCAGAGATATTTGTTCCTTTAGGACTTAATTCTGCTGAAGTTCTCTCCAATATCACCCCTTGCTGGCCGTTCCACAGAACGGCAGCAACGTCCATTACACACAAAACCATTTGGCTCCCAGGCCAGTAAGAATTACAGCTCCCCAACAGCAACAAGCACAGTGGCTGAGGTGCCTACAAAATGGAGATGGAGCTGGTTAAAAGAAGGGAAGACAGAGAGAGCTTCAAGGGGTTTCAAGTAAAATGAAATTTGAATAACTCAATAAACTGCTTGTGTATACGGAAGTGTTTGTGTATTTTGCTACTACAGTACAAAAAGAAACATCCTTTGGTATCATTTCATAGAACACAATTTTCTAACTGAATTCTTTAATCCAATCTTGATAATCCAGTTGATTAAAATAAAAAAGACTAATAAAATACAGGAATATCCATCGAGCCTACGCAAACCCCCTTTAAGAGAGCTGGCATTAGCTATAATGAGCTACATTTATTCTTCAGCTGTGAAACAGCACTCACCTCCTGAATGGTACTGCTTCCTGAGAAGTTGAGGTTGTACTCCCGCTGGACTTCTCGATGGGTGACAATCAGCATGAAGTTTTGATTTAATGACTCCTGCAGGGCCCTGAAATGGTTGAAAGAAAAACAGGAAAATCAGGGATAAGCATGTTATAGCTTGTTTTACAGTTAGATGCAGAAACCCCAGGGTACCCTAAACTCTGCATGGACAAGTCCAGGCACAACATTATCATCTCTCTTTTCACTCTTAAATGCAAGGAAGCATGCTGAGAATGACCAAAGGCCATTCCTGAACTCCTTCCTTAATAAGGTGACTGCAGCCTTTAAAGCTCATCTAATGTTAAGTATTTTCAAAATGGAGAGAGTCCCATTATCTTCACAAACCTCGGGTGTATTTAGCACTCCTAATGCCATTAATAATAGCCTTGTCAGCATATTGATGGCCAGACCAAATATCAAGCTATGATGCACATTAAGAACTGATGGTAAATAGAACAAGGCAAAGCATGCTCTTGCTTCTCAAGGATAACCTGAAGCAGAAACCAAGTGGAAATGCTTCTGCTTAGATTAATTTAAAAAACATAAACCCAGCTAATTAGATCTGGAAAAGTAACCACAGCAAAATTTCTCGTGTGGGTATTGAACATTTAGAAAATTTAGTTCTGCTCACATTGTTTTAAATGGACACTCAGAGGGTTTTATTAAAAAAAAAACAGAGAGGGTTTTAATAAAAATAAAAACATAAATAAAAATTAAATTAACAAAAATCTTAAGATACAGTTTAACCAGACCAACTATATCTTTATGTTGTTACAAACTTGGGGTTTTTTTTTTCTGATTTTCCTGGTAGTAAGACATATGGATATTAAAAAGGTATCCTGATTGCTTAATTAGGTACAAAATTATGCAGCTCTCTACTTTTCAAAGCAGAAGGCAGGACTACTGCTATAGACATGACAATTATGGCTGTGTGCAATCTTGCACATGCTACAAAACTGCAGCAACACTGTACCACACCTTGCGTTTCTAAACAATATTTATGCAGACTTGACTTGTTCAGTGGCATATGAAATTTAATGAGGTCTATTCAATTCTTTTTTTTTCTTATCACACACACTTAAAAGAATGACAGACTGTTTTTCCTTCACATCTTCACTATTCTGTGACACTTCAACAAGCCATACCTCTTAGCACTAAAGGACAAATTCTGAATGCAGACCAGCACAGCTGTATCTTATGATACAAAAAGACAAGAAAGACTCCTCCATCATTTGAGATCTGATTTGTTCATTTTAACTCCTTCTGGAATTACTGATCTGCTGGTTTGCTGCTCAGATGGGAAGGAACTCATACAATACTCAGTGGATGCTTTAGCCAGAGATACACAGTTTGCTTGAACATCTTAGGGAAATCTACCTCACGGAAATATCTTCACTGGGAAACCTTATTTGGCTCCATCCACATCTCAATAATCACATACTACAAAACAAAATCATGAAGTGCTATTTCTTGTCATTTATGGGTTTCCAGTATGGAAAATAAATATAACTCATTGCCAATGCTAAGTATGATCATGTGCATGAGACACACTACAAATATAACTGGAGGCATTGATGCTGAACATGTAGTTTTCTGTACTTTCACAAGATTTTCAACAAAAGGACTAACAATTCTTTAAATACCTAACAGTCCCTCAAAAGAGGGGAAAAAATAAAAAGAGGAGTCCTGAAAAGTTCTACGCCTACTTTCAAAGGTAATTCTAATTTGATTGTTAGTAAGTTTTGCATCCCCATAACCATAATTTCTATTGGCAAATGTTCAGTAGCAACTAAAATATCCTGCTGTGCTTTTTCAGATTCTGATTTTTTATTTGTTTTCAGCAAATACTGGAGGCAAATGACATATTTAATTGCTCTGAAAACATTAATTACCGCATATGTGAATGGCTTTGGATTCCATACAGACTCACACAAGGTTCTGTTAAAGCTAATTTTGACTCTGTCTGAAAATCTGTAGATGCTAACTGATAACATGACTCATGTTTTCATTCTGTAATTGATGTAAACATAGAATAAACAGGCCAGTCTGATCAAACCCTCAGTCTCTCCAGTTATGCATGATCCACACACTTCAGTACAACTCAAAATACAGTTTGCTAATAAAAAGCATCCACTCATAGGAAAAGTTTTCCACTTATGAGAGCAGGAAGTATTTTGGAAAGGAAAAAATATTCTTCAAACAAATTTAAATGAAGTGCCTAAAAATTAAAAGCTTTAATTTTTGAACTAACAATTTTGACACCTCTACTTTTGGGATTTCTAAGCAACACAAGTTGAATGTTGTTAACAAGCAAATTATCAGTACATATTTATTGACAAACAGAGTGAAAAAAGGGCTGAAAATTAAGCTGGCAAAAAAAAAGAAAAAAAAAGAGGAGAAACTGGGTTTGAAAGTGTTAGCAAATGCAGTGCATGGTTAATTGTTCACTTTTTCTTCAGAAAAATAACAAACTGAGGAACATTACTTCTGCTTACACAGAAGTGCGCTGGTCAACTGCTCCAGTCCTTGGAGCTCCCACATCAAAATCTCACATGGTCTGACAGCTGTAAAGCTTGGACAGTGTCCAGGAGAAAGTCACAGGGAGGAGGAATTGATGGCACACCTGATGGGTCACTGATGCCAGCGCTGGTGCCCACCCTCCTGTGTGGGATGGGGCTGATGTGAACACACTGCCAGAGATGTCTGTCTCTCCCAAAATCACTTCCTCCAGCAAAGGGGGATGCAGATTAACCCAAATTACTTGGACCAAAATACATCTTGCCCAAAAATTCCATTTCAGCCATTAAGGTAACGATCAATTTTACAAGGTGAAAGCATTTAAAGGAAACTTCTCACTGGCAGTAAGATGAAGCTTATTTCTATTTCTCTTTAGGTCCACATAAGTGGATCGAGAAGACTGACTTTGAATACAAGGCACGTCTCTAAAATTTTGGCCTCAGTGTTTGCAGCTGTTTAATTTTCCTACAAATGTTATAGTTCACTACAATTTTCCATATAAAATAGCTATATTAAAAGGGGAAAAAAAATCAGGCGCAAAATGTAGGTCCCATTAAAGACAATACAGATTTTTTCCCTTCTTTTTCTTTGTTGCCACCAGTGCTAAGCGAATACAATTAAACTGAGAATTAATTAGTGGGAAAAGAAAACTAAATTCTGGAAAGAGACTAAAGTAGGCCACTCTTACTAGAAGATTTTTCCCCTACTGCAAACCCCAGCCTCCAAAAGCATTTGCTGATAGGTGATATACACCATTACAACCTTTTCACCTCAGCTGAATGATTCTGCACTCGCTGTGCAGCACAAGAGGCAAGGGAATCTGTATTTTTGGGCACCAATCCTCCAATTGAGGTACCCTGCCTACACCCAAAAAAGAAGTTCAAGAACAGACAAAAGAAAACAGATCAGAGCACAATCATTGCTCTGATCAGTTCTAGCAAGAGACTTGGATATAAAAAACAGATTGATTCTATCTGCTATTAAGTGATGGCATTAATGCTCTGATTTTTTATATGAGACTTTGCTTTATGACAGTATTTTTCTTTGAAATTTTAATAATATTTTAGAATTTGACCAAAAGTAAATCCTTAAAAAATTATGTGTAAATGCTCCTTTCATTCCAGTTTTTATGAAATACACTCAGTATTTCCCACTAGCCAATATCTTCCTCAGTCACACAGATTTCCCCAAAACCTCTGATTTTTATATAAACAGGTATGACACAAGGTAATTAACATTTCCATTTTAAACTTACAGATTTATATAAGCTCATGTCAACAGAAGTCCAAATTTACTGTAATTACAGATTATTTACATTAAAACAAAATAAGAAATCAGTATGTAAATGTAATGTTTGTTGTAGCTAATGCAGCAGGAGGTGGTAGATTAGGTTCAAACAGCAATCAGTTAGCAAATCTGGCTAACATGTAAATGAGCAGAAGCCCTTTTGTTTACATTCTATTGCATTTTAAACTTCAGGATTTTTAAACTGTCTCATGAACAGATGGGAAAATAAAACATTAATCTTACCATTCTTATGGAAGCTTTCAAAGTAACTAAAGCAAGGCACTGCTCCTGTCCAGCTAAACAGACAGGACTAATAATTGGAGTTGCAGGTTACATCGTTCTTAATTAACACTCTGCTACAGTTGATAACGTACAACAAGACACCACATCACCACCACTGCTCTGCAATCATCTAAAGCAGAGGCATTCAGCAATATATGCACCTATTGCTTGAAAAAAAGGGATCTGTGGGTTTTTTCTTTTCCATACAGATGATTACACTTGTTAAACAAGTTACAATCACTCAGTAAAATTCATTATTTCTAATAATCTCCATGGTATGCACCTGGGGTTTTAAAGCTTTTCAACTTTCCAGTGATTCATCAAGTATAATAAAGTATTTTTGCTAAATAGCTGAAAGTCAAAGAAAGTACAAAATACATTATATCCATCACAATAACAACAGCAACAAAAAACATCTCCCAGAACACACAGGACAGAAAGGAGAGACGATCTGGATGACCCAGCTCCATGGCCAGACTCCCATGCTCACGCTTTTCATGATTCCCTCTTGCATTCTCCTAAACCTATTTCCTCAACTAAGTATTTCCAGCCTTCAAGAAGCATCCAAGACAACAAAGGGAAGGAATTGCTGAGGAAGGGATTAATCTAATCTGACAAAGCTGGTGCAAGGGATCTATCCCATGGACGTTGAATGGTGGACATTCTTTGGCATCTTTCCTTTCAGGATTTCTTTCTGAGGGAAATTATGTTCTTTTCCACCCACCTGGTAACTTCTGCTCCCACCTGGTAACTTTTGAACACAGTCACTGGTTTTAAGGTCTCATAGTGTTAGAAAGGTTTCAAATACCACGTGTAAATCAACAGCCAGGAGGAGGAAGGGGACCTAAATTACCACCCAGCTCAGTAAAAGGCTGCATTAAAAGTGCAGTATTTTATACTCATCCAGGTGATCCCTGGCCAGTGATCTCAAAACTACCCACAGGACATGATTCTCCTTTCCTTTGATACCTGACTGTGAGCTGGAGAACAGATGCAGGGCAGGCTGATACTCTGTGCAAGGGGAAAAATATTACACAGGTGCTACAAAATACACAACTGGAGGCAGCATCAGAGGTAGGTGAGATGATGGGAAGCATGGAAGGGGAAGGCTGATTTACTGCAGCTGCTGGGACGAGGGAGGAATTCACCAGAAATCAGACTTCCGTATGTCCACAGCTCACAGAACACATGGTTATTGTTCTGGATATCGTGCATGGGTAAGTATGGCTCTGCCAGTTGAAATTGTGGTAGCAGGGTGGAACAATACAGGTGGTATTTGACATTTAAATTTAATCTTTCCACCTCAATTTACTAGCATGCAGCAGTAATTCACTGGGTTTCTATTACCTATAAAAGCTTTAGGTAGGCTACTGATGAGCAAAGATACTCCAGGAGATTTTTGTTTGTTTAAAAGGCAGGATCACTTTGCCATTACATTTAGATGCTGGTTTTCAGTCAGTTCTGGGTTAAGCCCACTCAGTCTGTCACAATAAACTTCAATGCCTTCATACCAATATGTTGGAATAGGATGTTTCAGACAGTGTTCTGCCTCACTATAAAGAACAGACAAAACTGGAGCTCACAGAGCTGAGGCCAGACTGTTCCTTTTAAGAAGGGCATATAGATAAAATATCACATACTGGAATCTCAGGCTTTTCAAATATCACTTTCTGGTGATATTCAAATCACGACTATTTATCTCTAGTTCAAAACAGAAGGCATTTGAAGAAAACAACAGATGAACTCCCAGAGCAAGAGGCAAAGTTCCTCAACATCCATTAATAATAGACGTGAGCATGACGCTTTTAAAAATTGTGGGTAACAAACTAATCTGAATAATAACTGACCTAACAGTAGGCAGTAAACAGTGTAACTGGGTTTGGTACATTGCTTCAATTAAATGTGTTTTGATCTGCATTGATGCTTTAATTGGAGGCAAGCCTCCCCTTTCATCTAGAATTTATGACTTCAGGAAGATGATCTAGCCTTCAAATTATCCGTGTTTAAATAGCCACTAATTAGGCACCATTTGCTGTCCCAAAGCTACCAACTTTTATCTTAAAAATATCCAGAACTAATCTCCACTATGAAACAAATATAAACTATAAAAGGTAACAACTACTTTGATTTTACTATCAAGTGAAGTTCTTTAAAACCATTAATCCTATAAAAAAGGCTAAGAACTGTTTTTAAACAGTTTGTTGTTATATACTTTACTGCAGTTGCAATAAACAACTCTCTTCAGACTCCAGTTTTCTCTCCAGATTTATAACATTCAAACTGCAATATACAGCAATACCTAGCTAGAAAATTTTGAAATTGGAAATTAAACAATTAGCAGCTGTAGTGTCTTTACACTGTTCTTCAAATAGCTGCTAAGGTACAATGCTTATCGTCCTCACACACAAATTCAGCTCCTGTTTGCACATACAGTTCTTGTACACCACCCTGTCCCAGTGCCACTCTTCCCTCTCTAAATGCTCCTTTACTTATTATTATTTTTATAGTTCATATCAGCATTCTTAATTCTTCCACAGACTACACGTTAATGTGCACAAGTACCTTTTAGTAATACACAAAGTCCTTTCAGTCCTTAGGAATGCAGCTACAAATTTCTATTGACTCTCCAAGAATTCCTCTCGCCAGTAATAGAACTGCCCCTGCAGCATGTTCTCCTATCACCTACAAGGGCAGAAAGCCAACTCCCTCTTCGGACAAGCTGAAATCCATGCATTTTGCCCAATTCCAAAGGCATCCATGAGCTGCATCCCCCCTGCATCCCGGTCCGGAGCAGCTCAATTCCCGCGCACCCTCTAGCGGCTACCGAGGAAAATTCCCATTTTCCTGGGAAACAGCACATACAGGACAACCTTCGGGAAAGGGAAAGACACGGAAAAAACCAAACCAAACGAATTGCTAATGACTTTACAAGAATATTTTCCATATAACGTCGGTTCCTTTTCAAACCTTCGCAACATTCCCTGCCAGCAGAAAGAGACTGGGGGTGCTGCTGGACAGGGGCTGAACACGAGCCCAGCATGGCCAGGGGGCCAGCAAGGCCAGTGGCACCTGGATTTGAGCAGGAATGTGCAGGACCAGGACAGTGACTGTCCCCCTGTGCTGCCCAGGCCACACCTCGGGTGCTGTGTCCAGCTTTGGAAGGACATGGAGGGGCTGGAGCAGGGCAGGAGATGGGAACGGAGCCGGGGAAGCGCCTGGAGGGAAGGTCCTGAGGTGACTGAGGGAGCCCGGGGTGCTCCTGGAGAAACCCTTCAGCTCAGGGGAGACCTCACTCTCCAAACACCCCAAAAAGAGGAGTCTGTCTCCACTGCCATGCCTCAAGTGGAAGAATGAGAGGAAATGGCATTAAATTGCACCACAGCAAGTTCAGATTAGGTATTAGAAAAACAGCTTTCCCTGAAAGAGTGGTTAAGCACTGGATGAAGTTGCCCAGCGATGTGTTCTCACACAGTCAAGAAGTGTTCAAGAGATGTCTGGATGTGGCACCTGGGATATGTTTCAGGGGTGATTATGGTGGGTTGAACTAAATAATCTTGAAGGTCTTTTCCAGCTTTGATGATTCTGTGATTCTGTGACATATGAACACTCACTGCTTACTTCTTGAGTGTTCAAATCAGTAATAAAATATATCCTTCTCAATTCAAGGAAATAAATTATAATTCATTATTAATGAAAAATTAATTTTATATTGATTAACTATTCAGCCCATCTGCATACATTTTAAAAGTACAAAATAAAATAATTCTGAACAGACAGGAATGATTTATACAGATTTATAAGATACATTAAGTGGACCAACATAAAGCAGCAATTTATGCAAGGCCAGCTCTTGTTTCCACAGGGACCAGATTTCTGTTAAATTAAAGTCATCACATCTGTGACATGTAAAATTCTGTATGTACCTAAGAGGTTCATGTACCCCACCAGTTTTAAAAACCCCAACAAGCTTCCTTTTATCCCAACAGTCACTAGTGCAGTGATAACACTTCGTATTTACTGACTGCAGATTCCTAAAAATACACATGTGGCTTCATTAAAAAACACCAAAAAACCCCCCCAAAAAAACCCCAAACAAACAAAAAAACCAACCAAACAAAAAAATCCCCAAAAACAAAAACCATACACATAGAATTTATGGCCAAAAGACTTACCCAGAATGACTTGAAGAAGGCGGAGGCAGGTCAGGTGTTAGAACATAAAGACTATTATTTTTTGGCAAGTGTAGACTTTTTAAAACAGTCTGAAGGGAGAAAAAACATTATAAATATAAAACATTCACCAATTCTGATTTTTTTTAATCATAGGCATGTATTTACAATATCAGCAAATATTTTGTTTCAAGATACAATCTCTGTTACTTCAGGACATCATTTTATTCTATACATTATATACAAACCAAACACAAACTGATTTGTCCTGATTTTATTTTGCAATGTTTTAGATTAAGAGTTCTTTGTGTGCCACCCAAGACATCTGACACTGTTTGAAACTAACAATTCTTGCATTGTAATCCCCACCCACAGATGCTCAGTTTGAAACTGAATTCAGTTAACTGAAAACACAGTTGAAAACTTACACTATCATCTACATCTCCAGTCTTCCACCCTTTCAACAGCATTTTAGATGCAGGAACCTGAAGTTCATTTTCTAGAATATGTTTGATATCTCCTAGAGAGAAAAACAAAGAATATATATAAAATATACACATTTACTGCTTTATTTCAAACAGCAGTGAGTTGTACTTAAAAAGCAAGAGCAAGGAAAAATTTACTACGAGAAGGATTTTCAGTCTAGTTACCCTTGTAACATACCCTTCAAACAGTAAAGGACAAATGAAGCTTAAAAAAAATCACAAAGCATGAATGATTGGAGAATTACACAAGGATTTGATGATTTGGACATATATATTGGTAATTCTATATTCCATATTTATTAGGCACAGATAGCTGTGTGCTATCTGGAGCATCAGACTTAAAGAGGGTGCAAATTTCTGATACCAAATTTCATTAGAATTAGTCCAGACCTAAGGAACTGGAATGTTCATACAACTGACTGTTCTGACAGCTTTTTCAATGTTTTGTATATTTTGAAGCTCTTCTGCCCCTGTAGTTATTACAGTCATAAAGTTACTCAGGCTGGAAGGTACCTCTGGAGTCCATGTGACCCAAGCCTTACTCAAAGGTCTAATTAAGCCAGTTTAGTCAATGACTTGTCAGCTGGCTCTTGAACACGTCAGGATGGAAGTCTGACAACTTTTCTGCCCAATCAGTTTCAGTACTTCACCACCCTCACAACAAAAGAAAAAATCCTTTATTTAATGTGAATTTTTGATGTGTCTGTTTCCTCCCATTCCCATGCACCTCCAAGACAACTCTGGCTCCTTCCTCTCCATGTCCTCCAGCAGGCAGCTGCAGACAGAGGTCAGGTCTGCAGCTTCCCCTTTCCAGCAGGCTGAATAAATCCTCTTCTCTGTGCCTCTCCTCCTGTTAGGCCAGAGCTCCAGAGCCCTGGCCAGACTAGCTGAAGGCTGCCATCATCTTTCTTGTGGTGAGCACCTCAAAACCCCACACAGTGCCCCAGATGCAGTCTGGCTAGTGCTGAATAGAGGGAAATAATGATTTCCTGGGATCCACCAGCTACAGTCTCACCAACAGGTCTTCTTCGCTGCAAGAGCTCATTGATGAAGCACCCAAGACCCCTTTTATTAAATTGTTTTCTAGCCCATCAGCCTTCAGCCGGGTATCTGGTGGGGATAACATGGAGTTATCCCATGCCAGATACAGGACTTCAACTTTATTTTCTTGGAACTTCAGGAGGCTTCTGTCAGCCTATTTCTCCTGGCTGTCCAGGACCCACGAAACAGCATCCCTGCTCTCCAGAACATCAGCCACTTCTCTGAGCAGGTTAAGATTTATTTTGATCAGTTTTTTATCCAGTTTTTATCTTAACATTATAACTAGAAAAATACAACAGCAGAGTACATCAAAGGCCTCACTAAAGCCACAGTGACATTCTCTCTCTTGTCAACTGAGCCAGTCATCAAATTGTAAAAGGCAAATAATGCTGACTGATCAGGTACAATTTGCCTTTAGTAAATCCATGCTGGGTGTTCCAAATCCCCTTTTTTTCTCTCCCGTGCTCAAAAAGTGCTTCCAGAAAGATTTACTCCATAATCTTCCCACAGACCAAGCTCAGCAATCACCACTGAACACAGATTCACATTTGCCTTAGCATCTCTTCTCCTGCTGATGTACTTACAGAAACCCTTCTAACCCCTCAGTGGTTTCACCTTCAGCCAAGCTTTGGTCTTCCTAACTCCAAACCTGCACACCTCTGTGCTCCTGTGGGGCAGCCCACCACTACTTTCCAGCTCTGGCTACTTTGGTTTTGAATTTAGCTCAGCCAGAAATGCTTTTTTCTTCTGTGCTGGCCTTCTGCCATGCTTGCTCCTCTTGCATGTTGGAAGGAACTGTTCCTGTGCTTTGAAGAGATTGTCTTGAAGATCAACCAACTCTCTTGGGCCCCTGTGCCCTCCTGGGCAGCCTCTCATGGGAAAGCAGATCCCCATAAAAGCAAAATCTAGTCTTTCCTCAATTCCACAGCTGAAGTTCCAAAATTTGCCTTGCTCACTTCTCCCAGGAGTTTAAACACAAGGCTGCCCTCCATCTTTATCTCCCAAAATATAGAAATTCTACACAAACTGCCTTCTGCCCTACAGCTTTCAGGTGAAAATCAATTAAGAAGTTAATAAGAAAAGAAAAATCAAAGCAGCACAGCTGAAAAATTCTGATCTGGTCAGTTTTCGATGTCTAATTTCCATGGATGTAACTCAGCACAAAGGAAAAGAGAAAAACACCCATGGATAATTCAAGCCGAGCACCGCTAGGTGGCGCCACCCAACACCAAATCCATTGCCGAAGGGACAAGCGAGGATCAAAAGTTTCAATTTCCAAATTTCACCCCGGACAAAAGGCTGCAGCACGGGAAATTGCTTTCATCAACTATTCCTTCACGTAGCTCCTTATTTGGATCTGTATAAGCTCTTCACTAAAAATTTAAAAATGAAAATACTTTTCTTCCTTAGCACAAGTAAATTAATCCCCAGTTTGGGGAATATGAAAAATAATATACTCTGAAATGTGAGCATACTTCTAACATACTTCTTCAAAATGCATAATTTTCAGAGTAAAGGCAATAAAACTGATAGAATGCATCTTAATTTGAATGAAAGAGTCAAATAAAAATTGAACTAAGAAGAATGCAATGATGTTCCTCACACCAGGAAGAATTCCTCTAATCTTGTCACTAATCCTGTGCAGAACGAGATGCCATACAGATTCAAAGAGGAAATGCCAAGATCATCCACTTATTAATAGCTTGCATCTACACTAATCCTACCCCAAATTACATTTTCATGCCTCAACTTAATCATTAATCTTCATTTTGTTTCTGAAGCAAGTTCATAAGAAAACTAGATTTCAAAATAAATATTTGATAGATCACTAACCTTTACAATGGATTAGTGAAATTTTGCTTTTTTAAAGCTGCAAAGAGATTTGAAAATGGTTAGTAGCTGTGGAGGCTGCATTTTTGGGGGGATCTTTTTTTTTCTTTTTGAGAGGTTTTGCTCTGCTTTGCTTTAGGACTTGGATTTTTGGGCTTGAATCTTTTTAGTTTGTCCTTTTAACAGTTTCACGACAGCAGCTTTCATTTCACTTTAACAAATCCTTACCAACTGTAGAGCTGTCTTCAAGTACTACATCCACATTTCTGTCTCTGTACTCAACCCTGAAGTCAAGCATTCGAGGCTGTCTTTCCACTATTTGTCTAGATGGCACTACATGGCGAAATGCTGAGGAGGAGGAAGGAGCTGAGGAAGCTGCAGCAGAGTGACTGCTGGGGCCATACGCTGGTCCGTGCAAAGTCTCTACACCGTACTCACTGAAAGACAGCAAACAAGATGATTTCAACAGAACAGCCTGGCATGTCTACCCAGAAGTTAGGAAAGCAAAATGACAGTATTATTCACTTACTACAGTCCAGCACACATCTCCTGAATTATTGCTGTTGTATCTGAAAAAAAATGCTTATTAAAAATGAAAAAATAACTTCTGTATTAGCAATTTTAACCTTTCAGGGCTCAGGAGAACTATAGGAGATCAGCACTGGTGTCAAACAAACATTTAAAATCTACTATGAAATGAATACCAGAATTATCTTGACGAGAAGGATTGTTTCCTGTTCCAGGAGTGTTGTGGCCATATAAAAATTGGCACCATGGCAACGACCAGCTTTCTACATCATTGGGCTAGTATCCAGTGAAAATGAGAATAAGAAATACAGCTCAAAATTCTGCACCCAGATAGGTATTTTCTCACACCAAATTAGTGAAAAACAAATCAGATATGAAATAGATACATGTTTAAGGTAAATAAATTAAGATAATGAAGCATCTGTTTAAGAAGAAAACACCTGTAATGCAATGCTGAATTCTAGCTTGCTTTCAAGTTCAAAATCCTGCAAGGCTCCTGGAGATTCTTATAAGGAGGTCTCCATACCTGACTCTAAGGATACCCACAGCATTACAGGTCAGAATAAACTGGAATACCCTCACTACCCAGAAGCACTTCATCCTCCTCAGTGAGCCTCTCCACAGGAAACATGTAACTGAGATTGGAAACAGGTGTAACAAAACATGACATTTCAGGAATATCACCAGGCCAAAAAAAAAAAAAAAAATCAAATTTGGAAGGCACGAAACTTCATCAGGTAAGCCTGGGGTGTTGCCTTTTAGGTGTTCTTACCAGGGAGATGCTGGGCAATGACAGAATCCCATGATGGATTTCAGAAATGCTGCAACATAACTTGTCTCATTTCCATTCTTTATCAGAACTTATTTCAAAAATTCCTTCTGTTCTCAAAGATACCATGAGATTCTCAGTGGAAGTGCTTCACAGAGCAAGTCAAATCTGTCATCTAGAGGAGGTCTGAACTTTAAAAAGTGCAAATGTGGATGGCATGCATGTCACAGAAGTACTCAGCTATTGCAACTCCCATCATTGTGCCGCTCACATTTGAAACAGAAAAACATGTTATGCTTGTAAAACAAGGGGCTCCTTCAGTTCTCACATCAGCATGCTCAGAAGGATGAATGCCCAGCTACAAAGACCCACACTCAGACCTATGGCTCAAAAGTCAAAGGCCCACATCACAGCTCTAGAGGAGTACAGGAAACAGTAAGTTCAGTATTTTAAAAAGTATAAATACCAAGCGATACATTATTTTCTTCAACATGATGGACAAGTATGAATTAAGTACATTTCAGTAACAATTCTGTTAGTAGACCCAAGAAGAAATGAATATCCCAATTCTCAGGATTGGATTACAAAACAAGCATCTTAAATATACAACAAAGTGTACTTTTTTCTCTTCAATAAATTAACTTGCTTCAAGTCCAGTTGCATTGATTCGATTTGATTCCACCACAAAAGGCATCCTACATGTCTGACTAGCAACCTCTAATAGAACATAAAAAGCCCCACATCAGTAAAATAAGCCTTTTCTGAAAACCACTGGAAACCAGGTTTCTAAACCTTCTGAGCCTCCCTTTAAACCACTTCCACTGGAAGAATACAAAACAACAAAAACAAAGTAACAAAAATACCCATTTGAAACACATTTGAATATCTAATAATTTCTAAAAGTTCATAAATTAATCAAATTAATGAAAAATATAAGTGGGTACTGGATCACCTTGTGATTGAAGACAGGCATTACTTTAACTATTCCCCAGCTTCTTTTACCCAATCAAACATTCTGGGATTTTGGAAAGAAATGCTTTGAGATCACAACTTATATGCAGAAAGTGTGCTCCACACAACAAAGACTTGATCTCACATGGACTAAACAGGCCTTACAGTAAATATATATTTAGTATATTTAGTGTCCTAAATAAAAATCTGACTCTGTTGATAAGTATTGACAGAGATGTCAAACACCACTTTACCTACATTATGTATCTTATTTCATCCTTGAAAATTTTTAAATAGTACATTAAATATTTTTCTGAACAAACTTTTAAACACTGTTCTACTGTCTCTCTCAGGTAGCTTAATTCCTGTTCTGCTGTTTTTAATTGCCTCATCAGCACTTAGAAGATCAAATTTCAGTGAGTTCAAGATATCTGAGCATCAGTATGCAAGCCAAAATTTAATTCAGAAGCTGAAAGAAAATCAGTAAAACTACTTTTAGAAGGGAACAACCTTACTTTATCTATCACAGTTTCTGCTGCTTGTAATTCAATTTTAAAAGCAAAAACAGGAAAAAAAAGTACAAATGGTTTTGGCCAGAAATACCAAAGCATGGAATATCAATACCTTTATAAATGCATAAGGAAAAAGAAACACTTAGCCAGAAGCACACCAACATCCAGTCTTTGTAAAGAGACAACCCTGCAAAGAATGACCTAACCACCAATGAAAATAAAATAAAAGTTAACTATTTTGAACAGATGTTTGAGCTAGTCCTCTATCAGTATGGGAAAAACTGAATGTTAAATCAGCTTTGCCAGGAATAGAATTTGTGGCTCCAGAAACAGCTTTAAAAGGAGAATTATGTCATCTTCTTAGGATTCAGGAAGGGAAAAAAAGCAACTGTTACCCAGCATCATTCTCTGCATGTACTACTCCAGTCCCCTGTGCTTACCTTTGTAGAATGCCATTTTCTTGTGGTATAACACCATTTATAGCTGCCTGAAATGAGAAAACAAATTTTGAGTCAAGCATGCAGAACGAAAATACATCAGAACTTTTATAATATGTTTTGAAGAGTGATTGGCTTGTTTCAAAACATGCCCTAAAATGCTCTCTATTTAGTGAATATTCTTGGTGAACGATATTATCATTATGGGATCTACATAAAATAAAAACCATACCCAAGCGAAAAACAAACATGAGCTGAAGCTCAGACTCCTGTTTGGTTACCCTGTGATGCATTTCCCAGGTGGAATGCCTGGGAATAAACTTTGGTACTCACACACAGGGGACACATCACTCCCAAACACACCCAGAAAACTGTGAACAGCCCAGGCAGCTTCAGAGCACATCCACAGAAATTTGATGTTCCCAGGAGCACCAGCCACGGCCCAGCTGCACACACCCTGTGTGCTGCCAGCTCCATGTGCTCACCAAGTGCTCCAGAGCAGCTCCATCACACCTACACCTCTCACACAGACACCACCCAGCCTCCTCAGGCTGCCAGGGAACATCCCAAAAATCTAAACTACCCTCAGGGAGAAAAGGAAGTATTTTTTAAGCAGGGTTTATGCAGTTAAATACCATTCCACACTGTCCAAACCATCAGAAGGTTTAACAGCAAGATTAAGAGAGCTTGTAGCATCCCACTACTCTTTGTTTTCTCCTGTGCCAGCAGCAACTCATCCATTTCTGACCTTCACCACTTCTAAAATCCATCCTCATATATAAGATACACCTGACCTGTTGGCCACAGCACCTGGTGAATGAGTGTCTGGTCCCCAGTGAAGAAGGGACAGTTCATAGATTCCCTGGTACTCCAGGAGGACAAAGTCATACCCTGTGACTGAACTACTGACAGCAATCATCTATCAACATCTTTTGCACACACTGACATTAAAAAAATGTAGCTTAAGTGCTTAATAAACACAAAAATAGATGCAATCAAGATTTAAATGCTATGGTTTCTTTTTCTCTGAATAGATAAACATGACTTTTTTACAATTTCCATTAATAGTTAAGGCTACATGAAGTCAGAACATTTTATTGCTGAACTCAGCTAAATTACTGTGATACTGCAATAAGATTTATCCTGCATTTAGAAACAAATATTGCATTAATAATTATTTAAAAAGCAGAGAAGGAAAAGGTCAGAGGTACCCATAAGCTACAGCAACAACCCATGAGGCTGTATCAAATTACAGTGAAAACAAAGTTCCCCACCAGATCAGGTTTTAAATCAGTTTATTCACTGTGCATGGTAATAATCAGTGGTTTCTTTCTAACAACGTGTCTCATTTATCATCATTGTGGTTTTTGCAGTTATACACAGCTCTTGATGGTGTTCATCTAATAAACCTCCAGGAAAGAGTAGGAGGTTTTGGTTTATCTGGGTTTTTCTGGATTGGCTTCTCCCTCCCATACTCTTCAGCAATATACATTTAATTTATGTCAATCAACACATAAAGTTGGCTGAGAGCACAATTATCCTTTATTTTGCATCTGTAAGATACAGAGAGCAAACACAGATTTTGTACCACAGAACCTACACTAATAATGATCTGCTGGTGAAACAAAATTCTCTTTACTTGGGGAAAAGAAGCTGCTTCAGCTGTGAAGAAATACAGCAAATGTGGTATTTTCACACTTCTGTCAAAACTCTGTCTCAGAGGATTAAATCAGCTCAAACTTCTTCTGAGCCTAGTTTGAGGGGTTAAGTACAATAGAGGCTTCAAGCTATTTTCTTTTAAACTGAATAACTCACTTGTTCATATATCCCCAGTTTTGTAAACTTGATGACATTTAAGGGGCACAGGAGTAAGAAAAAACAGCAGAAGCATTATGTGCTTTTTTGATGGAAAGACCTCTATTAACCATACTGTAAAACTGAAGAGTCCAGACACTGTTTGTTAAGCAAGATGGAAGACTAAAATAATGTAGACAGCAAATGGTAGCAGTGCACATGTACATACTGCATAAATATTAAATATCCATGTTCTAACAAGACAGCTATAAGTAGACCCTGCAAAGGAAAAAAGAAAAAGGAACAACCATCTGCTTTAGAATTTCATTGGGAGAAGGTTGTGACTATAAAAAAAAAAAAAATTAAAACAAGAACACGTTACTAAGGCAAGATCTGCTCCAGGCTGTTCCTCCCCAGTGTCAGCCCCCTTTGAGAGAGGCTCACATCTCTATGGTTATGCAAATGTTTCAAGATATTACATTTTTTTTTTGTCTCTCAAAACAGGGATCTTTGATCACCAAAAGCAACCTGTGTGGCTAATTTATAGTCATTAAAAATGTGTGCTACTCTCAAAACAATTTTAATAACTGGTGCATTAAATCTATTATGGGTTATTAATATAAAGAAACCATGTCTGGATCAGAAAGCTCTTTCAGCTCCCCATAACCTGCTACTGAGAATGATGCCAGGGAGGCAGCACTCTGTGCTTCTGCTGCTCTCACACTGCACATCCATGAGTGCCTCTGCTGGATCCAGGGTACCACAGCTTGCTAGTGCTATCACTATTTAAACAGTGAAGTTCACCTTAAATGGAGAATTACAGGGGTAATTCAGAAGTTTTTCCCAAAGCCAAGAATTCTAGGTGTGTCTCAGTGCTGTCCATACACAAATTCTGGCATAACACTGTCCCATCCTGAAACAGAATAATTCCTGTTTTGAAGACAACCTCCAAACAACTCCCAGGCCCACAATTTATTTCATTAAATTATCCACTGAATGCAGCTCTTCTTGATTTATACATTTTGTTTAGGGATATCAATCATATAGCCAGGAATTGGAACAGCTTATTTAAAAATTCATTAAGTACTGCATAACCTGACCTAATTGGACCTGCTTTGGGCCAGAGAGACATCCAGAAACAACTTCCAGTCTCAAGCACCTGTGACTCCACCATCCAACAGTACAGGTCATCTTGATAAACATAATGTGAATTCTGGGGGTTTCTTAAATGAAAAGGATATCAAGAATGAGACATAACACTGGACTGACAAGTGCCCATTACAAAGGTTCAAAGTAACAATATTTTTTGGTGTGTTTTTTTCAGCAGTATGCTTCCAGTTACAGTTTTAAAATATATTCAATCCAACTTTTCTGTTCTGTATAGGGAACAATAAAGCAATAGGGTTAATGAAATGTTACCAAATTCATTAAAAGTTTGGGCAACATAAAAAATCTGTGGCATTCTAAAATTATTTAGGTACCTGAAGAACACTGAGAAGCAGACTGACATTTAGAACTTTTCCTCAAGGGAATATTAACTTAACTAGTCTAGTCAGTTCTGACTAATTGTGACTATCTTCTATGAGTACAAAACAGTGTTAGAAGGAAAACCAAGAATCACCATTCCTTAATTACCTATTGAAACAACATCAATGACTTCCTTCAAAACACACAATTCTAGTGCCAACCATGGAAAAGCAATGAATCACATCTTAGAGTGACTCTCATCCCAGCGTCCTATGAATAATGTGGGGTTTTAGACAGCACAAATATTCAACTCATAAGTTGTAAATACTCTGTGGTTTTCACAAAGTTTGAAGATGGACTGGATTTCCCAATCATATTATTTAAAAGCAGAAGTCTACATACACTGGTTGGATATTCTAATGAGCAAGGGGTTCCTCCCTCTTCACAAACTACAGACGGAAGGTAGTTTTTAAATTTCCAGAATTGCAGAATTTAAAAGAGATATTTAGATGAATTAAGAGTTAAAGGTAGTCCCAGGCAAAAGAGCAGCTAAAGGCTTTTGCAATGGGTGAGGAGGGAGCTCTTCCTCAGTGGCCACCTCGTGTTCCTCTCGTTCCCAACCTCCACATCACACCATGGTTTAGGCTGACAGACACAGGCCCCTGAAAATCTCCCCTTTGGAAGCTCCACCCCAGTGAAGAGCAGGAGGTTTTACAAAGCACAAACCAAGATCAGCTCTCCAAAACAGAGAACCAGAAAACACATCCATAAGCAAAAGGAGAAAGCAAGCTGGAGCAGCACAGTGCTGGAAGAACAATCCTCTCAGAGGAGGAGGCTGGAGAGATGTAAATAACCTGCACACCTGAGAGATGCACGAGTTTCACTGGGATAAATAACCAAACCAGCTTGACACAACCAGCACAAGCTGCTCCCAGAGAATTACAAAAGCCTTATTTAGGTTTGACTGCATTCAGCAGGTGAGACCACTTGAAAAAAAAAGCCCTCGCAGAGCTTTACATTTGTTTAGCTAAAAACTGAGGAGGTTTACACTGAACAAATGCAGTACACAAATGAGACCTCGAGACAGGGTAATAGGAACTGCCACAGTAGGTGATCCAAAACCCAAAGATGTCCAACCAAATGTCATCAAGTGCTTCAGAAAGTCACAGGGCATTATAATGGACTAACTTGATCATGGGGCATTTTCTTCCAACACCCTGATTTTCTGACAGTCAGATTTACACCATTAGTAATCTTTTTGTGTATTCAACTTAAGGCAATAACCTCATAAACCACCTATTAAATTATTTCTATGAAACTCAATAAAAGCTTTTTTGATGAGAGGATCCATTTATTATAGCTCTCAAAAATCTATATTCTCCCCTAGATGCTACAAACTCAGATTTTATTTTCAGTTTAACACATCTGACAAGCTAAAAAAAACCAAAGTTCTGTATTTTGTCTCTTTACTGTTCATTCTACCTCTCCTTCCTATTAACACACTTAATATCTTCTTGATATAAAAACAATTTGTCTCACATCACAAATGCAGAAAGTTTACCCCATGCTGTTTTCTACATTAACAGAAGCAAAGACAGGAAGAGGTGTTAGCCACTTGTAGGACAGAATTTAAAATTATAACAAAAAAAAAATGGGCATTTTGTTGTCTTATACTCAGAACAAAGCAAAACTTGTTTTAATCTTTGACTCTTTCAGCATTTAATCTTAGATTTATTTTTCTGATTGTTTAAGTGAACATAATACCAAAACTTACATACAAAACCTCACT